CCTTGCCCGTCCTGCAGAATCCGCAGGGCGTTGGGAGCAGGCGGGATCTGGGCTGGCTGCTTGGCAACCTCCTGCACTCTGGAGGCACCTCCACCACGCAGGACATCCCGTCACCTGGGGCCTGGTCGCCTGACAGCAGTGGCGGTTTCTTGCCCCTGGGCATGTTCTGCGCCTCCTGCCAGCATTCTGGGAGCCTCCCAGAGGGGCGGCTGTCCTGCTTCCTAGCAGACGTGAGAAAAGCCCCGGCTTGGAGGGACTACTTCGTTCTTTCTGTGAGACAGAACTCCTTTGGTGAGACCCACTCACTATGCTTCATAACAACTGGGCAACAGTCCTGGATGTGTGCGAAACACAGGCCTGGGCATGCAGCCCAACGGTGGGCCGGCCTCACCTCTCACTCCGGGAATGGCTTCCCCGGCTCGGTCTCCTTACCCTCTCAAGGGATGTCGAGAGCTCCTGTGAGAACTGAACGCAACGTGACGTGCAAAGCTCCCTCCAGCGCCCCGCCTGCTCATGCTCTCCTTTGCTTAAGAAGCTTGAGTGAGGGACCAGCAGATGGCATAATGGCTATGTCGCTGAACTCCCACGTAGCCAACCGTGGTTCGAGTCCCTGACCTGGTGGCTTAAAACTCATGCCAGGCACATGTGCGTGAGTGCCCCAGATCCTGAGGAGAATGGAGAAGGGAGTGCTGTGGCCACCCCCGGAGATCATTTCTCACTTTGTCTCTCTTTCTCTCTCTGGTAAGTACCCGTGCCCTATAGCAAAAATCTCTCTCAAAAACAAAAACAAAAATCCCCAAAAACTCGAGTGAGAGTCTGGATTTTTTAGTTTTCTAACACAAATGTGACAGAGGGTGGTATTCTATCTAAAACGAGGTCCCGATTCCTCTCTGTGGCCTGCCTATCAGGGCAAGGGAGAGGGACGGTGCGGGCCATGTCTTGCGTGGGAGAGCAGGGAGAGGGGACTCGGAGAACAAGGCTGTGTTCCCCGAAGCACGCCACTGGGCAGGGCAAGTAAAAGCACTCAGCAATTTAACACGTGGTGAAGGAACCTCTGGCTGCAGCTCCTTCAGTTGCACGCGCTTGGAAGCCGGAGAGCCAGCCCGAGGCTTCCTGTCAGCAGGGTGCTGGGCAGAGGGCCTGTCTTTCCACGCAGGGAGACCTCTGGCGAGGGCGCACGAGGGCCGTGAAGCGAGGCTGCGGGACGGACAGTGCCAGCTTTCAGACCGGCTTTCCACACGGCCTTTTTTGCCGTTGGCGAGGGCTGACTTATTAGGGCTTTCGAGGGCCTCTCTGACTGCCTGTGGGGGCAGGTCAGGGCCGGGGAGTGGGAAGCTCTGTGTAGACTGGTGACAGGCTGGCAGGGGGTGGGAGCGTGCATACCCTCTGGCGGGCAGCGTGCACTCACCCCGTGCTAGCCGCCAGGCCTGGCAGGGTCACCTGCCCACTCCTCTGCCCCTTCCTCCTGCCCACTCTTCCCATCTAAGAGGAGCCATTCTAGGGACGTGGGTACTGAGACTGGTAAGTCTTTAGGATGAGGGGAACCACGGCCACACACCACCCCACAGGGCAAAGCTGTGGAAGCAGAGGTGTAAACACAGCTAAGGGGCGCCAGGTGTCGCCATGGTTACGGCCCTGCACTCCCATGTGGTCCACCATGGTCTGAACCCTAGACTGGGTGGCTTGAAAATCACATGTGTGTGTGTGCCCAAAATCCGGAGAGGGGAATGGAGAATGGGTTGCAGTGTGGCCATCCCCTGGGAGTGATTTCTCACTTCCCTCTCACTGTCTCTGTCTCTCCCCAGTGAGCACACGTGTCCTATGGCAAAAACCTTAAAAAAAAAAAAAAAGACAACAAGACATAGCTAAGAGTACGTGGTCTTCTTTCATGAACCACTGAGGCAAAGGAGCTAAAGTGGTTCCAAGGTGTCGTTCCCCTCTCTGCTCTTGGGCACCTCTGCTGACACGGCGTCACTATACACGCCATCCCAGGTCACCCAAGGACACGTCCACGCACATGTTCACGGTCACACTTAGAGCCCGCATCTTTTCCTTAGGGACCCCGGCCCCCTTTGGGTGGCACCACCTGCTCCACCAGGTAGCCACAGTGTGTCTTTTTCATTTATTTATTTAAAAAAATTTTTTTTTTTGGAGAGGTTTTCGCTATAGGATGCGTGCGCTCACCAGACAGACAGAGACAGAGAGACAGAAAGCGAGAAATCACCCCCGAGGGGGGATGGTCATGCTGCAATCTCTTCTCCTCCATTCTCCTCTCGGGATCTTGAGCATGCATGTACACGCGCCCGGCATGAGTTTTAAGCCACCGTGTCTGGGATGCGAACCGCGGTCGACTACTTGGGAGTCAAGCGACATAGCCATTACGCTAACTGCTGGTTCCCACCACAGTGTGTCTTCGTGAAGGGTTGGGGAATTATGGGAAAGGCAAAATAACATAATGCCAAGTGCCCAATGGTCTATGCGCCATGCTGTCTGGGATTAGCCACGCTTCCTCTGTGGCAGCTAGCGTGGATAATCCTTTCAGGGCTCTCACTCAGGCACTTCCTTTGGCCGTGGGTTTTTAACCCCCTCCAGCTGGACCAAATCTCCTTCCTCAGAACCCACAGGATGAGGGCCACTTTGCGTCTCTGTCGCTGATGGACTCGTTTCTGTTAGCCACCCAAGTGTGACCAGCTTTGTCGCCACGCCCGATTCTCTCAACCCAAGGACACGTAGTCGTCCCTGAGGCCCCACCCTGACAGTCTGGCTAGTGGAGCACCCAGGAGACACGGGGGACTGAGCGAGGGCCAGGGCAACCCCAAAGAGACTGCTTCCTGGTGGCTGTTGTGACTCCAGTAGGACCCACGTCTGACAGCCTCCCTTCTCTCTAAATCTTTTACTTTTTCGTCAGCCTCACGGGGAAAGAGGATTAGCAGCAGCGCCCTGACTGAGGGCCTGCAGCGAGGAGCCTGTCTCTGGTGACGGTGCGTCTGCGAGGCGCCAGCTCTGGGGGAGTACAACGCCAAGGCAAAAGCCTGGAGAGGACTGGACCGTGCTTAACTCAGAATTCTCTCCTGAGAATATTTATTTACTTACTGTACACTTAACATCCTACTGGAAAGAGCGAACCAATGTGCATACAAGCATTATAAAACTATGAACAATTTCTGAGCTTTGCATTAGAAATAATTAGATATTGCAGCCGCCTTTGCCTGTTCTCGCTTTCTCATCTGTCTGTCTGTCTTTACGTGTGCGTACGGGTCTGTTTACATGGCGTTAAATGGGTTCGATGCCAGCCGCAGGCATTTGCACGGCTGCCCTCTACAAAGCCAGCAGTGAGCCGTAACTTCGCAACCCTGACTCGTACAGCCCGGCCTTTGGTCTCTCCTGAGTCTTCTCTCTCGTCTCGTTGCTGCTGGAATTTCATGAGCATTCACTCAGCGTGCTCGCCGAGCCCCCGTTAGCTATTCTGTTACTTAAACTGAAGTCGTGGGTTCCGTAACTTTGGGCTTTGGCCCTCGCAGCCCCTCTGTTCAGCCCGACTGTGAGGTTGATTTCTTCCATGAGAGAGACCGAGCAAGAGGGAGGAAGATGAAGACACACTCAACACAGTCCTCTGCCGCAGTCCGCCTGGTTTTAGCCAGGCAGGGTCCCGGGCTTGTGTGTGCTTGCCTCATAGAGTGAGTCCTGGGGACACGAACTGGGGACCTCCGTGGGCCGGTGCAGAGGCGTTAGCTCTGTGCCACGGTCGGAGCCCCATACGCACTAGTATTAGTCAGCATGTAGATGAAGGGTTCAGGGTAGGACGTGACATGGAGGAAGTGCTCCGTAAGTGGTGGCTAAATTGATAGCGTGTATTTCTGCAGCCTGGACTCCCGCGTGGCTGATGGCGTGGTCTCCAAGGTGACCGCCAGTACCCGTCTATGACGAGGAGAGAGAGCCGCCTGCTTTGGGGGCTCGCTGGTGGTGTCCACCTCTTGCCCTTCAGTATGAAGCTTGACTCAGGCGGTCTTCTCCGAGCGGCCTTGCTCCACCCTGTCTCCGGGGCATGGCATGGGAGTCCGGGTTCCACACAGCTGACTCAGGCTTTTCCTCCCTCTTCCCCTCCATGCAGTTAATCTCCCCAAGCAGAGAGACAGAGAGAGAGAGGACAGCGAGAAAGCACTATCCCCCTGCCCAGGGGATGGCCCTGTCACAACCCCTTCTCCTCTGGGTTTTGGGCACACATGCACACGCTCCCATGGTGTTTTTCAAGATGCTGGGTCCAGGACTCAAGCCACGCAGTTGGCCGTGGGGGTTCCAGCCGCCTCCATCCGGTTGACCCTGACTTCCTGCTTTTTAAAATAGTGAAGAGCCTCTTTGATCTGTTGAGCCATAGCAGTCATTTGTCCTTCAACCTGGTGACCAGGAAGCACTGCCTTTCTCTCAGGTGGTGGCTGATCTTGTCACTCGTTGGAGGTGGAGCCTCGGCTTCTGCCGCCGGAGTGATGGCACGTTCCTGCCCGCGACTCGACAAAAGCATCTGTAGTCTGCTGTGTATCTGCGGCTCCTCTGGCTCACCTAGGGTGTGGCGTCTTTCTGCTGTGGACTTCTCCTTCCCCACGTCCTACTGGGCCGTCAGGGAAGTCCTGATGTGTTTTTCTACACAAACATGCGCCCGAATCTCTCGTCAACATCAGAGAAGAGCGTTATCAACAACGTCCTAATGAGGCTGGCGCTGAGGGATGGGGCAGGGAGGACAGGGCACATGTGACACGGGGCAGACCATCACCAAGCTGCCCTGGAAGACTAAAACGAGGGCCCCTCCCTGCTTCCCGCAGAGACCAGGGTCTCAGAACCCTGCCCAGCATGACCCCCAGGCAGCCACTCCGGGGATCGGGCTGCCTTCCAGACATAGCTTGGATCAGTGGCTTGACCACGGTCCTTTGGCTTTACGCTGAGTGGTGCTGGGTGTCGCTCAGTTCTGACTGCAGGTGCGCTCACTCTGGGCTTTCGTTTTGCAGGAACAAGTGTGAGGGAAAACACTGCGAAGTACATGGAAATGCTCGAGGGGACACTGTGCAGGTAAGAGAGACCAGACGCTGTGGCCCATCTCGGGTCTTTATTACAAATAGTGCAGCGAAGAAGCTCGTCAGTTTCTATAGTAAATTACCAAAGAGAAACACAAAGAAGGAGGCCTTTGACTTTGGTGAAAGGGGAAGCGGGGGCCTGCAGACATCCTCCCTCCCTAGTCCCCTCTTTGAAAGAGAGGAGGGGGTTTCCGAGTGCCGTGGGGAGACCTCAGGCGGTGCTCACGTTCCACAAGGAGACTCTTCTTTGGCATAAAAATTCAAAACTCATGTCTTGGTCTGATTTTCCTTTCTTTCAGTGTCTGAGGGGGTCTCGGATTTTGAGCCAGTTTATACACGGTCTGGGACAACACAGAAGGGCACGCCTTAGTTCTGTTTTGAATCCTGAATCAAAACCAGCGTGAAAATTCCTGGTTGCTTTTTTTTTTTTTTTAAACCCAATTAGGTATTCCGCTTTGAGAGCGTCAGGGAAGCGGCGGCATGTCAAGACGTCTCTGGGCTGTGTGGATGTGTACTTACGAGAATAAATCCCAGGCACCAGGACCTGCTCCTAATTAAGGAGACACGCACGGGAATGTGAATGTGCCCTGTCCCTGGGAGTCGTTCAGTTTTATGGAGACCATTTGCTACTATTCTGGAAATTGCTAAGGAACTCTTCAGCTAGGCTGTGCCTTAAGCCTCTGTCTGCTGGGTTAGTGCCATCAGCTAAACGTCTAAGAGGGAGCGCCGTGCTGGGGCTGTTCCTCCGGGAGAGGGGCTGCGGGGTTTGGTCTCGTGGTTGGGGAGCGCGCCCCACTGGTCATTCTGTCCCCACACCCCGGACGTGGGGAGGGGCTGTGATGAGGTGGGTGTGGAGGTGGGGTAGGAACACAGGCATCTGGCCAGGTGCTCTAACCGGGCTGCGGCCTCCTCTTCTCCCAAGGACCCTGAGGCAGTTTCCTGGCTACCTTTCTGCCCTCAGTGATGCCAGCATGGTGCTCATCCAGGGGCCTGAAGTCAGGTCCGCACCTCCCGTTGTAAGGGGACAAAACTGTGACTAAGGAAGTGAATTTATGCACCAGGGAGTTGCAGACCAGTCCACCCATTCCCCTGTACCGGCAAGGTACAAAACCCAGACAGCGGATAGGTCGGAGTGAGACACACAAGTTCCTCCTTGTCCTGGGACAAAAATGAGGAGGAGGCCAGGTGCCTGGTCCTGCCGTCAGGGGGCCATCACTCCTGGGGAGGCGTGCAGGGCAGGGTGGAGGTTTCCATTCCCCACGGGGAGCCGGCGGCATGTCAAGACGTCTCTGGGCTGTGTGGATGTGTACTTACGAGAATAAATCCCAGGCACCAGGACCTGCTCCTAATTAAGGAGACACGCACGGGAATGTGAATGTGCCCTGTCCCTGGGAGTCGTTCAGTTTTATGGAGACCATTTGCTACTATTCTGGAAATTGCTAAGGAACTCTTCAGCTAGGCTGTGCCTTAAGCCTCTGTCTGCTGGGTTAGTGCCATCAGCTAAACGTCTAAGAGGGAGCGCCGTGCTGGGGCTGTTCCTCCGGGAGAGGGGCTGCGGGGTTTGGTCTCGTGGTTGGGGAGCGCGCCCCACTGGTCATTCTGTCCCCACACCCCGGACGTGGGGAGGGGCTGTGATGAGGTGGGTGTGGAGGTGGGGTAGGAACACAGGCATCTGGCCAGGTGCTCTAACCGGGCTGCGGCCTCCTCTTCTCCCAAGGACCCTGAGGCAGTTTCCTGGCTACCTTTCTGCCCTCAGTGATGCCAGCATGGTGCTCATCCAGGGGCCTGAAGTCAGGTCCGCACCTCCCGTTGTAAGGGGACAAAACTGTGACTAAGGAAGTGAATTTATGCACCAGGGAGTTGCAGACCAGTCCACCCATTCCCCTGTACCGGCAAGGTACAAAACCCAGACAGCGGATAGGTCGGAGTGAGACACACAAGTTCCTCCTTGTCCTGGGACAAAAATGAGGAGGAGGCCAGGTGCCTGGTCCTGCCGTCAGGGGGCCATCACTCCTGGGGAGGCGTGCAGGGCAGGGTGGAGGTTTCCATTCCCCACGGGGAGCTTGACAGTTGGCGGCATGAGCAAAGCAGCAGAAACGAACGGACTCGGTCCGGGCCACTCTTAGATCCTGGCTTACTCACCAGGTGGCTTTGTGTTGCTTGAGCTGCTAAAATCTCACCAGTGTATGGGACGGGGCTGGCAGCACGTCCCCTCCCCATATCCACAGCGGGGCACCTGCAAAGAGTCATCGAGGTGTCGTTGCATCATTAGATAAGCGTTAGGCTCCATCTACTATGAGAGGCAAGGGCCCTCTGCAAGAGTCTGTGAAGTGAAGAGATGTTGGTTTCCCTGAGACTGGACGGGAAGACTGAGCGCCACGTCATCACTTTGGTTCTCTCGTGGCTCGGTTACGGGAACTCCAGCTACATCCTTAGCCGTGAGCACCACACTCGGCACCCCGCCTCTGCTAGGGTGCTGGGCAGCATTGCAGCTACGAGAGCATAGGTGTTCGAGAGGCGCCCGCTTAAATCGCGGCTCTACCACTATAAGCTACCTCAGCTCAGGGAAATGCTGTCCTGCAGTTTCTTCAGCTGTGAAGAAACTCCTGCCACCTTGATGATGCATGAGCCTCCTGCGTCCCCACTCCTGGCTGGGTGCTGTTTGCATCAGCCCTGTCTCTCTTATGTGCAGAGTCTCAGAGTCGTATTGGGAAATGCACCACCTTCTTTTCGTCCCTGCCTGCGAAGGGGTCCCTCCAGCTGGGCTGAAGCCTGTCCCTCCTGCTAGGTCTTGTCGAAGGGAAGCCCGTGGCAGTTTCTCCCGGGTCTGGCTCCTGTTTTGCCTTTGTCTCCTGCTGCCTCAAGACACTAGTTTTCCTTCTCTCTGTCCACCTCCTGTCTTGTCGCTTCGACTGGCTGCTCAGGGCTTGGGCCCCAGCACACGGACACCCGTGGCTTCCTCCGCTGGCTGAGACGTTTGCAGCATGAGCCCACCTCTCCCTTAGCCTCAGATGAACTGATCCCACATCCTGTACTGCAAGCCTTCATGAAAATGTTCCTCATTGGATTGGTCCAGTTTTAAACTTCGAACCTATGTTGTCTAATTTCCAGGAGAAACAATGATCTAAAACACCTTATTCGTTTGAAATGCAGACTGATAAAAACATGTAAAGCCTTTAATTCTTAAGTTCTATGCAATCATTTAATATATAATTGTCGATCATTTATATTTAATAAAGAAGATACATTTATTTTATCTCATAGTAGAATAATATAATAAAATAAGATAAAAGTATTTTAAATTCCTGCCAGAGGAAACTTAAGCATACATAAAATAATAATGCATAAACATTCATGCAAAAAAGTAATGCACAAAATATAACCTAATGGATGAATGAGAAGGAATACAGAAAGGAAGGACAAACAGGGGATGGAAAACACGGCTGGCACTGGGTGGGGCAGGCTCGCCACCATAGCAGTCTGCTATTCTAGACGCTAAATTCAGGAGCAGCTGACAAGTACATAAAAGACAGTTTACCAGGTAAAAAGTATACATGGTTTTCAATAAACCTACAGGTCTGCGTTAGCATTGCAATCCACTGTAATACCTTCCAGTCTTAAGAACTCTAGTAACGAGTTTTTACTCAGAAATAACTTTCTCCTGAAATGCTCACTTATGACAGAATTTGGTTTCCAGCCCATGTGATAGGTTTAGAAAGAGCGCCTGCAGCTCTGCCCAAGAGGCAGCAGCACTTAGGCTCGAACCCTGCCTCCCTCAGTAAGTACAGGCTTCCCTTTAGGGCAGAGAGAATGTGGCCGCCAGAACCCCCGACTCCCCACAGCTGGGCAGCTCTGCCCTCTGGGTCCGCTCTGCAGGAGTGGCAGGCGCAGCAGGCAACACACAGGGTCCCCTTCCTCTGAGGCTCCACTTTGCAGAGAAAGCACACCGAGCTAGTACCGGTCCCCAGGTTGACTCTCCCCTACCAGAAATGTCTGGGACCAGGATATTTCAGGCTTCGATTTTTTCTTCCAATTTTTGGAATATTTGCCTATATATATTTATTTATAATGGCTTGGGGATGGACCCAAGTCTAAACAGGAGACACATTTCTGTTTCAAATGCACTTTGAACATAGCCTGAAGGTAATATTTTGTATTGCAGTGTTTTGACTGCGGCCTGTCACATGAGGGCAAGTGAGTTTCCCAGTGACGCGTCCCGTCAGTGTCAGGAAGTCCGGGCTTTGGTGCATTTCGGACTTGTATGAGACACTTCGCCTGTACGGTGAAGCTCTGGAAGCTGCTGGCGGTGCTGACTAACACCCCCGTAGGCTCTGCAGTCAGGCTGGGGCCTTCATGCAGGGAGGCCTCATTACTAACCTCTCCCCCGGGGATTGTGGAAAACCTGGGCGTTTACATTTAAAATGCAGGCTGTGGGTCCAGTAGGCCAGCTTTGCGTGCGACCGCTTCTGAGCTGTGGGCCTGACTAGGTTAATATAGCTCAAGACTCCATTTTCTGTCACAAATTGGGATGGTAATAGAATAAGATAAAGAATGTTTCTTGCATATAAGAAGAGATTAGTAAAGTTACGAAAGCCCCCAAAATACCTAGGGAAAAACAGCTCTTCCTTTATAACCCAGAAGAGAATCTGAGGCAAGGAGAGAGGTTGGTGGCTCATGCCCTCAAGGACTCGCCGAACGCCCGGCATTTTTGCTGCCTGCCTTTTGGCCAGCTGGCGGCATTTCCCGCGGACGGTGCAAGGAAGAGAAATGAGGTGTTTGAGTCTCATTCATGGCTGTGACAGATGTAGAGCCTCCAGTGGTTCCTGACACCAAACGGCTGGGATCCTAGACCAGCCTAGCCCATTTTGCATTTTCTGAGGTTGGGAGGACCCTGAGCTCCCGGGCTCCTGGCACAGATGGGGTGGAGTCTGTGACTCACGGAGCCCCCAGACCCTCGTCTTGACCCTCTGTGGAGCTCAGAGTGGGATTGCCTTG